GTCGACCCTAGATGGGGGCGCCCCCCTCCCCAAGAAAGCCACCCCTTGGACTATATAAATACAGTTTGATTCGTAGGACAAAAAAATTGTTGTTTTCTGCTAAGTTTCCCAACAACAAGAACTTTGGGAAGAATACTATGTGGTTCCTCGCCGCCACTAGTACAGCCGACCACTATTAAGCTCCCCTCCGCCCCAATCGCTCATGACAACGAAAAACTATGTATTATAATGCTATTAAGAATCCTAAAAAAATGACATCTTTCAATATTAGAACCTACTATGTTGTGGTCATTGCAAGTAGTTCTGACAATCTCATCAAGTCCATCCCTGTGAAACTAGGCATTTTCAAACATGAAAATAGGGTCAGTTCATATCTTGTATCCATATATAGAGGAGTGTGAGCAGGCTTTTCTGTGACTAAAGCAGTAACTTCACTTAAGGGATAATTTTCCTTTCAGTCGTCAATTGTTTTTTAACACGGTACAATCAAAGTCACTCATATACACCCACCCCTATGAACACAGCAGGAATAAAATCTCGGAAAATACGAGCACGAATGTCAAGTCTGGGACCTGAACTCTGATGGGCATTGAATACCACTATCCTCCTAACAATCCAACCACAGATTAGTTTGTGTATTGGAACGGTCTGCATCAAACTTCTTTTTTTTGAGATCTTCTTCGTCAAATATTAACATGTGGTTCGTCGCACTCCACCCTCAATGACGTCTCATTTCTCCGGTGGTGTCTTTTTCAAGGACCACCAGTCCACCACAGAAGCAGGCATTTTTTTCAGCCACAGCAGAGTATGAGAGTACCGATAGACCGGGTAAAACTTTGTCTTGATCGCGACATGATCCACATGCAACTATTATACTATTGTAGGATAGATATGTTGGCGCCTTACATATCTGAACCTCCGTTACAAGGGCAAATGCATCATCCATTAGCCGAGTTCAGAAACGTGAAGCCTACAAGGTGCAAGAACAAAATAAAGACTGAACCTTTTCAGGCAGACCAAACTTGGAAAGGCACCGTGTTATTCCTATCCCCTTCCCGTCCCCCGCGTCGCCTCTGGGCGGCTCGGGCGGAGCCCAGCACCGCCGGCGCCTCGTCCCACCCCGCCCCCTCCACCTCCCCTCGCCGCCGCCGAATGACGCGGCCGGGCTAAGCCCGCGCAGCGGACGGCGGCGGCGGGGCTCTCCTGGCCCGCAGCGGCGCGGGCGGCTCTGGATCTCGGGCGGCGGCCCGGTCTTCGCGGCGGTTGTCGGCTGCTGCGGCCGCGTGGGCGGCGCGGCGGCGAGGCCTGGTGGTGCTCCTGCCTCTCCCTTGGCGGTGCTCGGCTTGGGGGCGTGGTGCTCCGGATCTCGGCGCTTCCCCGATGGGTCACCGTTCCTGCTCGGCTGGGCGGCGCGGGAGCCTCGGTGGTGCCTCGGTGGCCGGCGGGGAGGCTGGCGGACGCTGGATCTGGCCGGGCGTGGCTGGATTCGGGCGTTCTTCGAGGGTTTTCTGCTGCAGCCTGTTCGTTGTCTCCGCGTGGTGCGGTTCCTGCGGCGTGGTGGCGGTGACCTCCTGCCCCAAGGCCTGGTGAGGGCGACGGCGTGAGGTCGGCCCGATGGCGGTGACGGTGGTGTGCGTCCAGGGCCCGGCATCTGGTCGGGCGGGCGCGCGGGACGGCCTTGGCAGGGGCGGGCGCTGACGGGAGGCTCCCCTCGGTGCTCTGCGGTGCTGGTTTGGTGGAGGTGTTAGGGAGGTTTGATGGAGGTCTGTGGCTGGCCGGTACGGGCTGGTGGTGGTCGAGCATCTCAGGGAGAAATCCTTCTTCCGGCCTTTGCCGGAGCTGGCGACGGCGGCGCCTGTGGGCGTCGCGCTCTTTCCTGGAAGCGTCGTCGATGTATGGTGCTCCACCCCTCACCCCGCGGCCTTGGCTCCGGAGGGAAACCTCTGATCTGCGGGATCGGGCGATGAAGGCGTCTTCACGTCTTCTTCCTCCTTGGGGGCATCGTCTTGGAGCCGGCTACAACCTGAGACCGGTGGATGGCGGCATCTTCGCCGCATGGAAGGGCGGCATCTTCGTCGCGTGGGATGGCGGCATCTTCGCCGCGTGGAAGGGCGACATCTTCGCTGCGTGGTTTGCTGAGGCGGCCGTTTCAGGGGCGCCGATTTCTGATTGGCAACGATGATGGCGTCAAGAGGAGCTTGGGTCGCGGCTCGGGCTTTGGTAGTCGGATCTTCCCGGCGTGCCCGAGGTGCTCTTTAGGGCACGGTCGGCGCAAGTCCTGCATATTTCCCTTGTGAGGCTCGTCGTCAAAGTCGAAGTTGTCGGTTGTTGGCGCGTGTGGCCATCTGTTGGCATGTGCCGTCATTGCGCTGTGTAGCTGTTTGCGAGGGCGACTTGTTGGTGGAGCTCTATGGTGAAGTCGGAGTCGCCCGTTCGGAGATAACCGGTGATGACAATGACGCTTGCGACTCCCCGACGGATGTCTTTTCTTCTTTGCAGCTCATGTTTCATGTCGGTGGCCAGGTTGGCCGGTGGTGCCCATGTTATATGGGTTGGGTTGTATTGGTTTTAGTCCGGTTTTCCGTCAATTAACCAGGCAATTCTTACTTCTTCTTAATCAATGAAAATGGCAAGTCTTTTGCCTCGTTTCAAAAAAAAAAGACTGAACTGAACTCCATTTGGCATGTCGAGACAGGCGAACAAACTGTCTATTTATGCCTGATAACAACTTGCCGGTAGATGTACCCCGACGTTTCGAAATCTGGTTGGATCGACGATTCACAGAAAACTTGTAAAATTTGCATCCAAAGTTCCATTTTAACAGAGAATTCACCGGTAACTTTATTCAAACAAACGGTGAATTTCAGCATCCAGTTCTATATATATGCTTGTGCTCTGTTGTTCTTTTACATGCGTCGAGCTTCGCAGATCCTCTACAGAGAAGTTTAGTCAAGAAACTAACCAAACAAAACAAACAGAATGTTTCCCTAGTGGAAAAAAGAAGGGGAAGAAACAAGAAAGATGTTACATCACCTAGCTACGGAGATCTTTTCTTTTATTCACTCGATCATGTGGCGCCTAGAGCTACACCCCTGCGCTACCAGAAACTTCCGGTCCTTTGTTAGCGCCGCTCCTCTTGCCGGAGCGCGCGTAGAGGGCGGCGCAGAGCGCCGTCCCGACGGCGCACGTGAGGCCCCAGAGCAGGAAGGTGTCCCGGTAGCAGGCGGCGCCGACGCAGCGGTTGCCCCCGCGCGCCTCCCGCTGGTAGAGGAACCCGGCGAGGTAGCCGAAGCAGAGCGAGCCGACGGGGATGTTGGCCACCAGCACGTTGTGGTTCACCCCGAAGTTCTTGGTGCCGAACAGCTCGCTCGTCGCCGACACCGCCACCGACGTGATGGCGCCCGTGCACGTCCCGATCACCGCCGTGCTCGTGTACAGCAGCATGTCCCTCGGGTCCATCAGCAGGAAGAAGGCCCCGGCCATCGGCGCCATCAGCGACGCCATCGACGCCGTCCTCGATATCGAGTAGCCGCTCCTGCTCAAGTCAGAACATCATCTAGTCAGAATCTACTACCAAGTACAGTAATAATAAACAAAGACTACACAATATTCAAAGTGACGATGAAGAGAACAGAGCGAGTGAGGTGGGCTCACTTTGCGGTGTAGTAGTCCAGGAAGGCGGGAAGGAGGCGGCCGAAGAATCCGAAGGAGGACGACAGGGAGACCAGAGTGGAGGGGTCGCCGAGGCCGCGGGAGTCGGCGATCTGGCCCAGGTTGTTGAGGAAGACCAGGCCCAGCGTGCCACTGAACATGTAGCTGAAGAAGTACATCCAGAAGTCGAGCCTCCGTAGCAGCCCGAGGCCGCCGAGCTCCTCCTGACCTCCATGCTCCACGCTGCCGGCCTCCTTCACCTCCTCCTCCTCCTCCTTGACGTTGGTGGCCACCTCAATCTCCTTGTTGAGCCAGCACATGCCGTTCTCGCCGAGGTCGTGCACTCTGTGCACCCTCTTGTTGGCCGCCGCCCGTATCTTGGCCATGCTCTCCCGGACCCTCAGCGCCACCGGGATCAGGATCGGGACGGCGAGCATCACGTAGAGGCTGATCAGGTGCTCCTTGGACGAGACCCCGAGGGACTTGGACCCGATGCTGCCCACGACGGCGCACGCTCCGGTGGCCAGGGTGATGGCGAACATGGCGAAGAACCCGAAGTCGGTCCTCTTGCCGCTCCCGGGCTTCACCACCCGGAGCGACGGCACCACGAGGAGGGTGACGAGCATGGGCACGACGGCATTGAGGAGCAGGTACTTCTTGGCCTGGGAGTAGCGGAGCCCCTTGAGCGTGTCTTCCATGGTGGTGTAGAACTTGGCGCTGAGGCCGAGGTAGCTGGTGGCGAGGCTGACGGCGACGCGGCTGTCGGAGGGGAAGTTGTTGATGCAGAGGAGGTAGCAGACGGTGTTGATCCAGCAGATGCCGTTGCCGGCGAGGGAGGTGAGCGCGAACAGGTGCCAGTAGGCGAGCCGGGGGCTGTCCAGGAACAGGAACTGCACGCCGTACCCCACGAGCCCGAAGGCGGCGCCGACGACGGCCACGAGCCAGAGAGGCACGTAGAGCGCGGCGACGCCGGCGAACCAGCCGAAGAGCTTCCCGGCGTCGGAGGCGAAGGCGAGGAAGTTGAGCTGCACCTGGGAGATGCCCTTGACCGTCTTGAGCTCCGACGAGTAGACGGGGAAGTCGGAGTTGGGGCCGTTGATGGTCTGCAGCCAGACGCTCCCCACCAGGCTCAGCCAGTGGACCGAGGTCGGAGACGACGGCATGGTTTTTGCTTCCCTCTCTCCCTGGCTGGCAAGCTACCGGCGCAGGCTAGCGGCTGGAGGCGTGGTACTTATGCGGCCTCCACGATCCACCGGACGGCGATAAACGCGCGATGGCGACGGCGCTCGACGGATGGACGGGTCGGCTTAATGGCTGTGGCCGGCCACGATGGATGGATCGATCGATGAGGATAGATCAGCACTGCCTATGTGCTTTCCTAGTGTGCTCTCCAATTGATGTCTCCATTGTGGCCTGTGGCGCGCAGGTTATATAGTGCTCCGGGCCGTGGATCGTGTGACATGACATGACATGCTCCGGCCGGGATTGGCAACGTTGAAAAGATTGGTGGTAGCCTGGTAGGAGTGAGTGGTAAGCCGGGCGAGACCAGACGCTTTAGCAACGTACGTGAAGGATTCCAACTTTCTAGGTTCTGGCTCACATGCACTCATGGGAGCCGCGGCCCACGTTTGGACCGACGCCCATAGACCGGCCGGACGCCGGCGCCGGGAGTCTGACCGGCGAACGTACGTGTTGGGCTGAGAGGTCGCTGATCCAGAGAGTAGCAATGCATCGTATCAGGCATCAGCTGTCAAATTAAGCAGGGGATGAGGCATGCCAGAGACGGCAAAAACTTGGGGCGACTGCATCATGGCTAGCGAGAATCGGGGTGGCCGCCCTGTAGGCGTCGTGTGCCCATGCTCATGCATCCGATCATGGTTTCGTGCGGGACACGTGTGCATGTATTGCATGCAGGCCTACCAGGGTGGGTCGACGTTCGACGTTGCTCTTTGCACGTTTCTGCAGACAAGAAGACGATGGCCCCATGTGCTGGACATGTGTTCAGTCTCTGCTGATGTGCATTGGGTTAAACTTGTCAGCAATCTTACGTGTCGTTTCACTCGCTCCGTCACTCACTTCAAAGGACTTTCGACTTGGATTCTCGTAGGAGCAGTGCTATACGGACGATAAATATGGACGACCAACGGACGACAATCAAATCCAGCCAGAGGATCTCATCCACGACAGTGTAAGGCCCGCTGGATTATTGATCGTGCATAGATCGGCCGCACTACGTCGTCTATGGAGCAATTCCGTTCTCGTAGTACGTACGTCTACGTACCCAGATGGCGGCTGCCACACGTGCCAATTACGCAGCTATTCTCTCTCTCTCTTTCTCTTTTAACACGCTGCCACACATACCCAGAAGGACCCAAAACGCTGCAGAAGGGCAACTCTCCAACGCCGTGCATTAAAAACCCGCCAATGTCTGGTCCGTGCTGTCCGGACATGTTAGATCATCCAAAATCATGCATCAAACGTCCGCAGCATGATTCGGGACGTTCGAAATCACATAAACCGGAAGCAAAGTCGGGGCAGGTTTGCGAGCTCCGGGACATATGCCACGTAAGCCTCTGACACTCACGGACCACACAAAAATCTCACTTGAAGCCCTAGTTTTCCCACTATGTCCCGTCCCCTTACTATGTATCAGCGTATTCTAAGACCAACACCATTGTTGTACCAGTCACTCTGCTGCCTAAGCCTTGCCGGACTTCCGCCTCCATTTCACCCCTGGTCCAGGTGTCGTCCAGGTACCCTCCGCCCCTCGACATTTGTGTCCATGGCGGACACGCTCAGCAAATGTTCGGTCAAATGCCATAGCCAAATTTATTGACATTATGTTGTTTACTTTCAAGCCATACGATGGTTTTGGATGAGAAGTACTTCTACTCCGAGTTCATTGATACGTCCTCGTCAAATGAGGACGGATATGAGAATGAAACGAAGATGATGGATACGACTATTGAAGAATATGTCTGAACAAGTTGAATTTCAAATTTGAACTATTTTTTGGGAAAGTACATGTTGGATAGTAATATTTGTATTTGAATTATTGTTGCATCGGAATATTTGCACAACATGATTATGCACGAAGGATGATATTTCTTTTATTATTTTTGCGTGCTCTAGATATAGGAAAAAAACAGGGGTGAACAGTTGGTGCAGATGGCCGCCCCCTAAGCGCTATTTGTAGACACTGATTTGATGCACAATCTTGGAGACGCCCTTACATTTACCTTCATAATTTACTTTGAGCACCAGGACCCCAAAATAACAACAAAACACGACACGTCCTCATTTTTTTTTACAAAAGAACCCCATATTGCAAAGCTTGATAGGAATTCAGTCCCTGGGAACCTCCTCCCAGATCCAGGCTTACCGCCATAGGGGACTACACCACTTGGGTCGGGGAACTCTCCGCTACACCCACTCCAAGGTCTACAACCTCCCATTCGACTTTGTGTCGGGAGGTAAAGAGACCGCATTGCCAAGTGGTTGCAATTCGACCAAGTGATGTAATAGCGAGGAAGTAGAGGCCGACTGCCGCCATGGAACGTGTCGTAGCCTCAATCCAAACACCGTTGGGACAAGGACAAGGATCAAACTGCATTGACAGCTAGAATGTGAACTGAGATCGCCCTAGGATCCTCTTCTCTTCCATCTCCGCGATGGCCAAAGAAGGACAACAGAAGCGGTGACATGAACCTCAAATCTAGATGGCCAGTGAGCTATTTAAGGGAGGGGGCAGGGGCAAGGAAATCATCTTTTAGCACACGATCCGACCGACGAAGCACCACCGAAAGAAGAATCCCCATCAAGAGTGTAAGGGCATTTCCCTACTTTGTGTTTTGGATGATGATGGCAACTCTTTGTTGGTCTAATCTTGTGCTAAGTGCTTCAGGTTCTCGGTGGTTAGGCTTTCATTGGATAGCTATTATCTCTGGAAGGAAAAGATCGAAGACGGAGTTTTTCTTCGCTTTTTATCTCTTTCGTCGTAGGGAACCCGTACTATCAAGAGGGAATCCACATTGGAAAGAGTTGGGGGAATCTTTTCACGTACACTTTCCTCACCCCTCTATTGCCTTCCTTAGTTGTGAGAGAGCTCTTCCCTTCTTATCCTACTGCTCACTGTGGCTTCCCAGCGGTTGTACCGCTCGCTAGGAGCAGTTGTACCGCTGGTTCTTGACGCTTACCAGTTTTGTTCGAGTGGTTGTACCGCTGCTTCCGGGCAGTGGCACCGCCAACATGCTCAGCAATGACTAGGGCGGTTGTTCCGGCCAAGTACCGGTCAGACTTCTGTTTTGATGCGGTACTCGGGCGGTGGTGGCTCGGTTGGTCCGGTCGTACCGGTACCACCGGTGCCCGGAGCGGTTGTACTGCTCAGGACTTAGCCACCCCGAGCGCTCAAGGCCAAGCGGTTGCACCGGTCCTGTACCGCTCGACTACCACACTCAGGGGTGACTCCCTACTGTTTCTATGCGGTAGTTGAGCGGTGGCTGGGCGGTTGGTCCGGTTGTTCTCTTAAACCGGTACTACCGCCTGGTCGCCCGGTTGTACCGCCTGGTAGGGTTCTGCACGTAAACCGTGAGTCCCGGTTGTACGGGACAAGGAGCGGTTGTGCCGCTGTAGTACAGAAAACGCAGTAACGGTTTGATTTTTAGGGTTGCTATATAAGGGTGCTTCTTCCACCTACCTTACTGTGACGCCCGGGTAATTAAGCTATAGTAATCCCGCGTTAACGATGCCATGTCACCTCGGTTACTGTTGCTAACCTCGCGTTAGATCGAAACCGATTCGAAATCAAATTCAAAATCAATCAAAAAATAATAATAAAAGTTTTCGAATATTAAAACTAAAATGTTCGGAGTGAACCAAATATTGTATAGGTAATTATGGTGGAGAAGCCACACCTTTATAAAATATTTAAATACTATAAGATGAATAAAACAGTAGCAAAAACAATTAGTTAAATGATTATCAAATAATAAACAATTACAAACGATTTTATATTAGGTTCCAAGATAGTTGTGGTAGTGGCATAGGTATTAATAATATTTTAGGTACAACTTGGGTATTTCATAAAAACATAAATTTAATAAAACAAAAAAAGGAAGAAATGAAATGAAATAGAAAATAGAAAACAGTAATAACTAAACTAAAATAAAATAGAACCCCCCCTCTCCCTGGGCCTCTCGGCCCACCTAGCAGTCAGCCGGCCCACCCCAATACCCCTGGCCTATTTCCCCCGTACCCGACCGAAACCCTAACCCACCGGTCGCCCCACTTCCCCCCCACTCCCTCGATCCACCTCTCCCCTCTGCCCCGATTGGATCTGGGGGGATCGACCAGCCGCCGCCGCCAGACCCACGTCGCCACGCCCCACCGTCGTCGCCGATGCCTCCTCATCCCCGCAGTCTAGCTCCATGGCCGGATCGACCAAGGCCGCCCTGATGCCGCGCCTCGACCCCGTCATCGCTCGACATCGACCATAGCCCGACGCGACCACGCCGGCGCCCTTCCCCACCGGCCTGCACCCGCTCCGCCGATGTCGTCCCCGTCACCCCCCTCGACCACCGCTGCCCAGACCCTACGCCTCCGGTGAGGCCACGGCCTCCGCGCCCCTCCTCTCCTTCCCTTGTCCCCACGTCGCGCCCGACCTCCTCGCCCCGCGCGTGGCCTCGTGCGCGCCCGTCCGTCGCCTCTCCGGCGCTACTGCGCCCGCACATGGCCGCGCCCAGGCGCCCGTCTCCCGCGCGCCACGCTCGCCCACGACCTGCTGCTGCTACTGCACAGCACCGCCGCGCGCGCGGCCTCGCCGACCCACGCGCCTCACGCTCGCCCGCCTCTTGCTCCGGCCAACTGCTGCCGCGGCGCCGTCTCCGGCTTCCCCGTGTGCTCGCAGCCCCCCCCCCTGTGCACCGGCGCCTCTCGCTCGCCGTTGTCGCCCTCGACCGGCTGCACCTCTGCGGCGACCCTCCGCGCGCCCTGCGCCGGCCTCCACCGCGGTCGCCTTGGCCACTGGCCTCGCCTCGCCACACTCCGTGCGGGTGAGCGCTCGCCCCGGCGCCCGTCGCCCTCCTGCCCGCTAACCCGCTAAGGCCCCCCGGGGCCTATGACAAGGGGGCCCCATCCCCCAGAACGTTTTATATAAAAAAAAAGA